GTTGCCACTGCCTCGTGTACTCTGAGTCCGTCCAGTAAAATAATCACACAGCAATTAGATGATCGAGGGATGTATTTCTTGCATGATTAGACTTTCGGCAGCATTTCGCGATTTGCACAGCAGAATGCGTTGTTATAGTCAAGAAAACACGTATGAGTTGATCTGTTTCTGTTGTCAAGTGCTGACAGTATAGAACATGCGAGACGGGCCACTGCATCTACAGTAGATCTCGAACGACGATAAGCCTTTTTAAATGAGTCATTTGAGCGGGTTTGGGATAGCATCATTTAACAAATGAATTTTTCTTGAAGGTTCTAAGCAACAGAAGATCAAACGACAGGTCAACATTTCGTGGATCGATTCTTGATATCGGTGTGATGCTGCGTTCCCAGGAATAGACTGAATATACACTAGGTGGAGACGTCGTAACTCTAAGTCGACACTGCCTCTTAAAATAGGGAAGGAGAATCTGTCCGAGCGGACGTTGAGTTTTCAAGCACAGCAGATGTCAAAACAGAAATTTAGATAGCTAAAGTTGTCACGATACTTGGATACATCAGGATCAAGGAAAAACAAAATTAGTTGCATGAAATCATTCCACGAGGTTGATCGATATTTTGTGAAGAGCACTACCTCCACTCGAAGCCACTTACATAAGCTGAATAATAGCCCCCGCAGAACCTACCCTAATAAAATATTCTGACCACATCGTCCTGGGCATCAATCATCGAAACGCCGATTGCTCTCTGAGGTTGCGAAATCATCTGAATGACCTAAATAGTTGGTCCAAAGCACGTCGTATGTCTTTTAATGCATCCGAGTGTCATAATACGCTTCTTTGGCGACAAAGCTTCTCACATCGTCGAGGAATATACAATTTATTCATTTATTTATTTAATTTGAAATCTTCATGAATAGCAATGGTGTCCAGCACGTCCGTAAAACTCCATATCATCCTGCTTATAATGGGCTAGCGGAAAGGGCGGTGCAGACAATTAAAAGAGGCGTCTCGAAACAAGAACCATTAACTGTTCAGACGGGGTTAGATCGCTTGCTGTTTGCTAACAGGACAACGCCAACGGAAGCCACTGGTAAATCACCTGCGGAGATGATGTTTGGCCGAACACTCCGTACCAGACTAGATCTTTTGTTTCCAAATCATAGAGCACAAATGAAGAGGAAACAAGACAAGGCTGCCGCATCGCAAGATGATCACGGCGCTAGTTGGCAGCCGGGTGATCCCGTATACACACGACTTCCCCATGAGCGCTGCTGGCAACCCGCAACTGTAATTAATGGTGACTGTACCCAAGCAGATCTTGAAATAAATGGTCGGATAGTACGGCGACACTCAGGTCACATACGGTCACGTTGTGTTAGGACAACAGCAGATGAACCTCTGGGTGAATCAGCTTCAGTTCATGCCAGAAACGGAAGCAACCCCCAGGATTCTGTACAATCGTCAGATGCACCATCGCTTCGTAGATCTCAGCGTACGTATAAACTCGTCGACCGTTTCGTGCCAGGAGTATAAACATTTCAAGAGATGAGAGAATGTCACGCACGCGAATGACTTCGATCCCTTTACTTCAGCCGTGCGCGGGCTGGTTGCCACTCACACCAGCCAGCCAATCATCTGACACACGCCCCTGGTCTCGAAACGCGTTTCCATGAATCTTGTACCTTCTCGATTGATTGATAAACCTGCTGTTCAGACGTCTTCTGCTTGCTGGAACTACGTGTCTCGGCAGCGTGCGTCACATGCTTAGTGGTACTACGTTTTATGTACCTCGTTTGATGTTTTATTGTGTGTTAGTGGGTGACAGGGTCCCATAAGATCGGATGTTGACTCGGCCTGGACACAGCCTGGTTCACGGCTCTCCACAAATACTATTCAGCCAACCCGATATTTCCCATTGTTGACTGAGTTCTGTAATTACTCCCGAGTTGTTGGTTTGTATCAAGTTGCCTGAACAGTGTGATCTTCCTCCAACATTGACGCGTTGCGCTAAAAAACGGCTGGTGGCTAATATCTCCCCTCTACATTTACCACGAGAATAAAATGTCCCCAGGCTGGCAATTTTCAGATATAATTCATATTTTTACAAAACCTCAAAGGACATCTCGTGAAAGCCGTCGATAAATCATGTGGATTCACTGCGTGCTTTGACAGCACTGCCTACGTAAGCGACCTGCTCTTTCTTAGACTGTTTGACCTAACTAATCTCCTCTGTTTGTGGTGATAGTCATTCTTGATACTCGTTTCATATAAATTCTTTTCTGAAATCCGTGTATGATCGTATGCTAGGCCGTACCAGGGTTGACAAATACGGTGAGTCAGGGCCGTATTACTTATCCTTTTCTCTTCGACAGTATAACCGACAAGTTGTATTTTACTCTAGCGTAGTACTAGATCTGACGGGCGCACGAGTAACATATTAAGGGGTTGTGAACGATATGGGTATCTCCCAGCTCGACACAGCTGTTACACAATGTCTGCTGATGAGTTCCAGGGAGACAAACAACCTCCTAGTGCTCTTCTGAATGCATGATGACCGGATAACTGTCTGTGAACAAACCACTCAAACTTTTCCCATTCCCCATATCAATTAACTAACTTTTCTGTGATCAGATATCACTCCAAGAGAATGGTTGCACAATCGAATTTCAAGCAAATCATGCACGAGCGCACTACAGTCCGCTGGTCGCATGTTTAAGTAGCAACATCGTACCCACTTTCACACCCCATGATTGTACCACTACATCGGTGTCGCTATGGAGTGATCACTGTGCATTGCTCTCTACTCGCAAAAGTGCCGTAGTGCTGGCTATCCTGCAATGTACTCAGGTTTAATATGGTCAAACCTTTTCACGCGTGACTTTCAGCGGCCGGGTTGAATGAGCGTTTGTTTGGATGATTGTGCCCCGTCGTCCCCAACAGACCACCCCTTCTGACTCAGTGTCATAACGTTGCTGATGCATTAACCCTATTGGCACCTATCTACATGCACATATCCGTGTGATTGCAATCAAGAGAGCACACAACTCGGACATTGTTTTGTGATCTTCCTAGAGTACATATTCACTTGGAAAAATGGATGGGAGCAAAACTGATCATCAGTGGTTCTGTTTCGTCATATAGGTTAATGCTTCGACCTCATTGAGCACGGCAATACATGTGCGTAAATGCGCGTGAGAAGACAAACCGCTCGCATTCACTGATTTTAACTTCTCTGTTATCGGTTTTCTGCTCAGCGACCACGCAAACAGTGAATGGCTAAGTACTTTAACGCTCGCACCAACGCACACCTTCTTCGACCCTTCGATTTCTTTGAAACCCCAAAGATGGTGAAACATAAGGCTCTCGGAATGGTGATCTCACTGTCAGTCCGTATACTTTACTGGCTCAGGTTGCTCTTGGTGAGCGAGTGGAGCTCACGAAAACAGAGGAAGAAAGCAATGCACTTTCCCGAGCTGAGCAACATGATGTGTGTCCGTCGTTCCATTCTTCTTTCGCGTTGACTGTCCCGTGCAGAACCGCAGGACATTCCATCCCCGAGTAAGGTTTGTCGACACAAATTGCCATTCAAAATTTGCGTCCGAAGCATTGTTGCAATTGCGGGGTCAAATGTACACGCCCGATGCATTACCTGGCGGTTAAAACTGACGTGAGCGAATTCGTTCGCCCAATCCCCTGCCGCTCACATCACTGGTTTGTGGACACCAATCCGTTAACAACCGTGTAGTGCCAGTGGCTACATTATTTGGAAATCCAAATACAAAATACACCGATCTTTCAGGAATCCTATGCACACTAGTAGTGATCCATGCAGATGGAAAACGATAGCATCAAGCACCAGCTGCAATCGGCGTTGCGGCCAACCGGAAGAATAGGTGCCTTCGCGCTCTCTATTTCGGCTCCACACATTGTAGCCAGTTAAAATGTTATAAGTAGTACGTAGAGACGTCGTACGGACGCTTCGCTTCTACGCAATCACCACAAGCCGCGTAAAGACTGAGGGTACTGTGGGATCACCCATACTTACTCGGATTCGAACCAGTGACTTGTGGAGTACAAGATGGACGCCTTGCAACAGTTAGGCACCAACAGACTGGAACAGTTTAGTGCTGATTTGCGGAATAGCTGCGAATCTACGTAACCCGACGCACCTCGCTTTAATGCATCGGGGCACAACGTAGCGCTTCATCCTTTGCTTTTCGTCCAGCTGCTATTGAGCCTAATCCGCGCACATGAAACCCAAACGTTTACTAGTGCTCTACTTGTTTTGCGATTTCGCGGACACTCTCCTCCAGTGATCCTCAACATCCACTCTCTTATCGACAGTTTTAAATCTGGAAATTCAACACAAGGACTCACCTGACTCGAAGCTCAAACAGTAAATGCGGCGGTGCTGTAAACCATACAGGGAACAATCGAATTAACCGTCCCAAACGCCTTTCAGTTCATATTTATTTATTTATGGGATGGACTCAAACAGATAAAGACGATCTCCAAGAAGAATTGATACAGTGAACATGAACATGTTCATTGAACATTATTTGATTCTGTAAGTTAGCAGGCAGGCTTGCACAAAGCAATACGTTGGAACCCCTTACGGTCAACTTTAACGCTGCTTTGGAATATGTAACAAAACACCGCAAAGACTGTCAAACTATGATTTGCTCATCGGAGTGCAAATGATCCCCATCTATCTCTCCTAACTAACGATAAGTGTGACCCCTAAACATAGTTTACTCTGTATAACCATTCACGAACTCCTCACCTTTCCTGACCCACCGATTCTTGAATAACTGGAAACGGTGTCTTCTTTGTTATTTTGTTCTTTTATGCGATCCGGTAAGTCTAACCAAATAGACTATAAAGATCAACGATTTGGATTCAGATAAGTTATAAATATCACAAGTGGCTCAGTGTCGAAGTGTAAGTGTCAACGGTTGCTCATCATAACCTCACATGTAGCAAACGACCGAATGTTAAACCGGAAGGTATCATTTTATTGGTTGCTGTCTTTTAATGGCTTTGGTGACGTACTCCACAGCTCTCCTGTGTTTCATTACTTTTATTGTTGCATGATCTCTGGCTTTATCTCTTTATGTGCATAATTTGGTCTGCTTCAAGTAGAGCTAGATGTACAGCGCCCACTTTATGAAGTTACATTTTCTCTCTGGCTGTTGTTCGGCTCGTTTCACATACATCGAGATAAGCAGCACTATGCCAGAGCACAGTTTGTGATTTGCTGGACGTGGACCGTGGTCTTAGCACCAAATTATACGCCTCGTGCAAGAATGTAAACTCCAATTTGTGGTACAGGTTTCTTAGATTCGAACGACAAAAGCAATTCGTCCTTTTAAACGCTTTATTATTGTCCATTGGAATCGGTTACTCTTCCCGTGTAAAGAATTCACCCAGTGTGTGGCTAGCGTAGTCTTGTTTATGCAATTGGACTGGTTGCTTCCGATTGCTGCCATCCTCCGACCAGTCGGTGTCACGTGTGATATCTTTGGACAACGATCCGGAATCTGCGTGAGCTGGTATATAATTATCGCTCCATCCTGGCGTTATACACGGTGTCGAGGCGCATAACACTCGCGATGCAAAAGCCAGCTTTCGTTGTGCGGTCAGTGTTGCCTTGGTCCACTGGGTGTGGTCAGTCTCCAAAATGCTATACTCCGAGCGTGAATCTCGGACACTTTTTGGGGATCTCTGCATCTGAGTGCGGTATCAATGTTAACGTACAAGTCAAGATATTTTGATTGAATAAACACTGGATGTTGTACTACGACGAACCAGACAAGTATTTCGAGATTAGTAAATATTCGCTAACATATTTCTGTAATTCATTGCTAGGACACACGACTATTGCAAGTGATTCGAATGATATTGTGAACTATTGCTAAAGCATTCCATTATTTTTACCTCTTTACTTAACCAATTCTAATTAATTCCACTTGCTTCAGCGAAGGTCACGTTGGTTCAATCGAATGCTACGAGCGCTTTGCGTACGAGTGCTTTTTCATCTACCAAGGTGAGAAAGACAATACTCGTTAGGTGGTGATTTGGGAATAAAAGGAAAATATCTGGTCTGGCTGACAAAGTTGTAACTCAGTTAAACGTTTGAAGCTCAGTTCTCGAACGGTATACCTCAAGCTGCTTTGTTAGTGTCTGTAATTTGGCAGGTGGGAAAAATGATGGACAGAAATTTCTGATGAAAATGGCTTTGATAAGTTATTCGCCTAAGGCACGTGCTAAGTGCTAGGAGAACGGCTAAAGAAAACGCGCTGTTAGCCGTCAGTTCCAATCAGTTTTTGGTGATCTATGAAAGTTCCATTCAAGCAAAACTTTGTTTGGCTCTCATACATATTTTCGTCCGAAACTCCTAAAAATTTTACACGCTTGTTGACCAAGCGAGCCATAAAATTCCGATCATAAATACATCCTGTGATTTTGCCATCGGCATGTTGAAATACATTCGAAATAACGGACCACTGCTTACTCCAGACTCGGTGTGTGTTATGGAGCTCGAAATAGTTCTGAAAGTACTGATACTAAACGAAGGTAGTGCATCTAGTCAGAAATCCGCTAACCAATTTTGTGAGGATAATTATGAGCAGACCTGAGATGTTAGTGGTCGCTTGGGTCCAATAATCCAAGGAAGTGGAGAACTAGAAGCGGTGCACTGATGGTCTCGCATACGGTCGTTTGCCGAGTCGGAGTTCAAGGTGATCGCAGTAATCCTTCAGGTTTTAGGTTGGATTCACACTACGTCATGTTTGTGCTTCCTTCATTCCACCCGGTTTTCGTTTGTCTACAGGTTTATTTTGTTAATGAGATTACCCTAAAGAAGCCAAGGTGTTATTAATTCTTAGAATTTGGCGTATCCGCCTTTGCTTGGATTGCTACACGTCGTCTCAATTAGAGCTACAATTTGCCCTAAAATAGACTTGCGCTATTGCGATCATTGAGACCACATCTGCAATGAGGAGATTGAGTGATACCACTTTCCAGCACTGCACTATTGGGTATCACAATCATCGACTGCGTTTCCAAAGTTTACTGACGCTATAGTGCAATTCAAAAATACCATAAACAATAAGTTCTGGACATCTACAACATTCAAGTTTGGGGCAATTAAGTGCAACTATGCTGCTCGTCACGCGAAAAACTGTTACAACTACATAGACCCACTTTTGAATTTAGCGCTTCTGTGCCGACGTTCCGGGGTGCCTCTATGACACACGGAACCTTCATCTTTGTGAATGTAGTTCCATCTACTTCTTGCCCGTCCTCGGATTCGCTGAAATTACGCTTTCTGTACGGCTCGTATCCCGTGGAACGCATAATTCCTTCTGCATGCAAGACTTCAAAACCCGCGTTAGCGTCCGCGGTCCGTTTAGAACAACCAAACCCTTGTATTCTTTGAGGGGTGTCCGAGTTACCAAAGGGAGGTACCTCATGTTTGTGTGAAAAATGATTATGTTCTGGCTGGCGGTCACACGTCAACAATCCTTCTTGAAGACCGTGCATCGGTGGGCTCAAATAGCCTTCCCAGTTGATTCGTGTGCGCAAGGCACTTTTCTGAAACGAGTTTTGCCACTGAGGCACATGACGGGTCGTCCACTGAGTGGTATGGTTGTCTAAGCGGCATTCGTTTGTTCGCCGTTCGTCACCTCGTAAGGAAATGGCGTTCTTCCAAAGGAACCGCTGCGATCCTTCTGGAGCATAAGGGTATTGAGCATTGAAACGGCAGCAGGGGCAGTGCACTTGAGGCTTCGGGAGGATTTCTTCCACTGAATGCGTGTACCTAGTGGGTGACGTTGGTGCCAGTAAAAATGACAAGTAAAATTCATCGGGTTAACTAGTTTCAATTTTAGCTTAGTAAATGTGATACAATGAAAGGAAAAAGTGCTTCACAATTATGATAGTCCATGTGTGCTAACTTTTCCAAAAGCTTCTCCGTACTTGGTGGCGCTATTTCGCTGGGAAAATCACAGCGCATTCTACATATCGCATTAAATTGGGAAAATTAGATGACGGCGAATACCAGTGAGTGCACTATAATGACTTTTGGAGCTTATAGTACGTGAAAGTAGTGATCGGTAGTCCTCCCTCAGAATATAGAAAAAGGTTTTAGTTTTTGATAACCGTTGTCTGCGTTTAGTGGCAACATCATGTATGCAATATGAAAGTGCTTGAGCGAGTGCTTGGAGTGGACAGTCCCTGTTTCCAAAATGGATTTATTTTTTTCACCTATTGAAGCTATGGAAACTCTCGGAGTGCAAAGCTACTGCATTACATACGAAAAGTCCATTCTTTTGACAGTAGAACTACAAAGTGCATTTGTTCATCAACAGTTTTCGGTAACCCACCAAACTACCCATCTGGGCTTGTAAAGCAGTGCTTCTTAACCCGTAGAAAGTCATCATTCATTGAAAATGCATGCGTTAACCCGACCAGGTTGTACGTATGCCGGACTATCGTCCTCATCCTCAAGCGTCACTAGCGTTTCCCGGAGGCGATTAGATGAAGTCCACAACCAGTGACGTGGAAAATGCGACCTCATCCTTACCATCAATCGCTCTAGTACGCCTTCCAGGGTGGGAAACACGCGAGATGTCTCATATTGGTTGCAAAGGTTGGATGTTGTAATCCGAAACTGACCTCTTTCGCACCAGGGCTGTTTTGGCGTATAGTCTAATAGTTAATGTCCAATGGAAAAACACGAGGAAACTGAAAACAATTTATGTGAATCACAAAAGCAACTGTTAGTGCTCGACTATCATCTTCCAATTTTGGCGCATTTTCAATTCTGGGACTTATGAATATACATATATATATACTGCTGGGTCTGGAAGACCGAATGATCTAGAAGAGCTGGTGAAAATCCCCAGAAGTAGTAGTTTTCTCTATCACGGGGACCGCCGTCTCACGATCATTGCTAGCTTCAGTTGAGCGCTTGACTGAGCCTGTGAGGTAATTCACCGCTCTTCAAATCAGATGGGAAAGCCTGGTGACATACAGTTCTTGTGGGTCAGCAGAAATCCAGCCTTTCAGAGGGGGCAAGTGATAACACAGATTGAATGGCCAGGGAAGCACATCACTTTCCGCAAAAAAACAATAATGCTCGATGCCCTGAGGTACGGGATGGTCGAACGCATTTGATGCGCAGGGTTGATGGGTCAGTGAAATGTAGGTGTCAGCTTGTATTTGGTATTTGACTTCTAGGATCCCCTGTAGCACATCCATATCTTCGCACAGCCCACAGAGTGATCTGAGTCCAGATAATGACGAAATTCTACATTCCAGTGTGTTGCAGCGCCGTGTGAGGCTGATTGCAATGTGATCGATTTGCGATCACACCTGTGTTGGTGAAAGGGGCACTAAGTGATGCAAAGTCCCCTAGTACACCCGAAGTCTGCGCTTAAAGAAATTTACCTTCGTCATCGCAATGACCCTCATCAAAGGGGTACCGGCTACTATGATGGCGTTTGCATTGCAACAAGTAACCATCCCGTGTACAGGAGCCTCTAGCAAGGGTGACTTCTGATTTTTCCGCTTCACTCAAGGGCCGGTGGAGTATGTGATACAGTACACTCCTAGCCCATATGCAGCTGCAGTCAGTTGGAGCTCAGGTGTAGTTTGCAAGCAAGTTGCGTCTGCCTGCACGATGTTTGCTGATCATGCGCAAGCCCTGAAGCCGGTTTGTACACAATGGACTGTCAAACGGGAATCAATACGACCTCAACTTTGTCAGCCAGTGCGATACCAACATCAACCGGCTGCAGCGGCTTCTGTGTCAACAAGCAGACGCATGAGATGTTTGTTTACAAGAGCAGAAGGAGATGTCAAATTAACCGCTGTGCTAAAGTCACGTAGTCGTGTCTTGGAAAGGCACCAAACATCGCTAGTGAAGGACACCAGAACACACGCAGGGTCGGCCAGCTGCTTAAGCTTCATAAAAATATCATATACTGGTGGAAGACAACCGAACTATAAATTTGTATCGAATGAGACATCTGACGTGACTATCTGGGAATCGGCGAGACCGGCATCAAAGAATTAATTAGATCGCCCGTATTAGTGGAGTAACATCTGCTAGGGATGAGAGCTACAGATTTGCTGGTACTTTTACAATGCGATCCAAAGGGATGATTTTCTGTCAATTCATTATGGCAGACGAAGTATCTTAGTGCCGCACTGTACTTTTTCTCTTTTACTTCGCGATCGGGAAGATCAGGAATGGCTATCGCCGTCGCATTTTGCAAAGAAAAGAGAATTAATAACTATTGTGTAGAAGACTGAATGATCCATTGTAGAACCGTAACTGGATGGAATGTTGCCGATCACTGCGCTTATCTATATGTCAACTGCAAATTTCCAAAGTGAAAAGAAATACTTAAAAATAGGGTCCACACTCGTGGATTTCATCAATATTAAACGGAAGATCGAAATAGTAGATCAGTTAGAATAACCATGGAACATTTGGGAAGTACGGGTAAAAAAAGGTAGTGCATAATGAGTGCCGTGACTTGACCAGTATGTGAACCACACAAACAAGGAGGAAGCACGAGATCAAAATGAAGAGTGGTTTGATGGAATCATTCGGGTGTTCACACGGTGCAGTCGTGAAAGAGTTTATCTCATTCTGATAGGAGCATGCTGGTGGGTGCACTGTTTGTCAAGTATTGTCGTCCCTGCAATGCACACGAGCTATGTTTTGTAACGTAGATAGATTAGGCGAGGGTAATGAGTACTTTGAATACAGATAATGTTGGCTCGGAACCACGTACATAGAGAAGGTGTTCTTCGGCTGGAAAACACGAAAACCGAATAAATTTCGACGACGGTCTAACCGGTTGTATCTCCCGGCCGCGTTAAACTGGTTGCCTCTCAAGTTCGTGTTTTGACTAACTATCAACAGGTGCGACAAGCGTGGTTAAGATTTCCCAGAGTGTGGTGAATCCTTATTTGGTCGCACCGTAAACAATGGTACTGATAGCTGTTCAATCCCGGTGCCATCAGTCTAAAATGATACGCAAACGCTTGGTGACATTCCGTTGTAGAGTCTCGGGTGCGAGATGATCCAGCTTGTATCAGAGCCAACAGGCTTGGACAGCGAATTCCACATGAAGCCACATGTGCGTTAGGCATCTTCAGGCGGACAGAGGGATCAAACTGCTCAAATGCTCCCCGTAGAGAACTGGCGTGTCAGTTCCCAGTATTTGTCAACTTCCTATATCGTTGTGAGCAAATTAGGTCAGCCTGGATTTATGCCCCAACATAATGCTCCTGGGGGACCACATGCAAAACGTGGCTTCAAAGCTTCTATGGCCTATTCGGAAGCTGATGAGTGTGGAGCACCTTACATTTGTACGAATTAAACGAATAGATTATGGATGACCGTTAGCCATTGGCTATACCCACGGATGCCGCGGATTTTTGAAGTACAGTGTTCTGGATCCTACTTTTGCTTCCGGATTACTGGCTTATACGTGTTTTCTGTGTGAATTTGTGGATATTCCCTGGCTACTTGCGGAGATCTCAGTGATTGGCCCAACTGCTGTCTGAGTCCACCATCTTGGATTTGTTTGCGACGTTGACAACCAGAACAACTGTATACCCCTGGAACCGACGCGCAGCTAAATCTACTCCATCGACCGCTTACTTGACCCATAAAACTTCAACGTTCGCCTGAGCGATGCATACCACCACGGGATGCGGAAAAGTCAGCAGTCCTCCCACTGGCTCAGGTAACGACACCAGGCTGTATGGCAAAAATCGAGTAAGTGCACAACCGAAAGCCTCCAAGCTAAGGGTGATTGTGGGTTAGGAGAATGTAATCGAGTAGCCATAATAGGATTAGCTTGCTCGCAATGTTCCAAGTCGTACCATCCGAAGTGTACTAGTTTATCCCAACAGCAGGTGCAAAAGACGTATAGCTCTCAAGATATCCTTCGGTTCGGTACTAGCTGTTCGACCATCCCGTTTGTCAAATGAATGCTTGTCCTAGTCCATAAATGCAACCGGTTGGTAGCAGGAGCCGAGCAGCGAATGGGCACTAAGATTATCTCACTGGAAGAAAGTCTGAACCAATTAAACGTAAGGACATTTATGCAAGGGAATGGTGCACAAGTTGTTGCTCCTGAACCACGGTCAACCAGGTCCCAATCGCCGTTGTCTTCCCCAAATTTGGCAGAACACCAGGTAAACATTGACCGTAACTCCGAGAGGCGAACACTGTCGGTAGCAACTACTATCAGACACCCACCGAAACGTGTGCGTAATCAAATCTCATCAGTCTTGATGTGACCTGTAAGTAAAAAGGACAAAGCACCCGAACAACAATCCTCAGCATCTGCAGCCCAGGGGTCTATCGTCTAGCCAAATCCCCTAGAACATAGTCACATATGCCGCGATTGCTGCAAACTTCACTCGGGAGGTCACAATTTCAGTCTCTTCTGTTACAAGCACCGATAAGTTGAATACAGGGACAAACAATAAGCACTCATCACTTGGTAGCAAGTCAACATAAATGATCCTCCAACCTTAATGCTCAAAGAAAAAGGGATGTAACAACAGTGCTCTGACTGTTGTGTGCTCGAACGTAAGCGAATAAAGAGCTATCAGATTGATAAGTAAATTGTCCAACGGCCTAAACCAATGGCAGACACTGTGCTTTCTGTAGAAAGTAAAAGCCCAAC